GTATACAGTACAGACTATATCATGAAGAAATGCCAACAATTCATCTTTGAAGTTAAGCACAGATTACTTTTATATTTAAATATATATCAAACTTCATGATAGAAAACAAAATAACTGGCTAAACCATTTATCAATATTTTACTGAGTTCATGTCCCCACAGCTAATGCAAAACTTCCTCTTATTCATTCAGTGGGTATTGTATAAAGGATGCTGAGGTTACAAGCATTTTATCTGTATTAGGTACACAACACGGCTTGAGCCTATTTTCATTGTCATTCTCCATCATTTACTGGTACTGCTACCATTTGCTTCAAGCAAACTGTAGAACAGAGATGCAAATTTATCATCTCTAGTACTCAAGCCATGGAAGCAAAGTGATCATCAACAAAGGAACTGAAATATATTTGTTGTATCCAGTGGGTTGTGGAAGCTCATATCTCACAAGCTAGTGGGCCTGGTCCTCAGATGAGGAAAATCTGATCAGTTCTCTCTCCTTCAGTGGAGCTATACCAGTTTCCATGAGCACAGAGGGTATGGGCAGTTACCTATGGCAGTGTCATGCTCCTTCTTTATAAAAGTCTTTTCAGATGCTCTAGCACCTACTACACCTTCCAGATTTTTCTGGTATAGTAAGGACTATTATCATCCCAGACAGCCTCCTCCTACAGCAGTATTCCCTGGCATTCACTTCCAGTTTGGTTCTTAATTGTTATTCAGCACTGTGGATAAGTAACTGTGGCTTGGGTTTTTTTCCAATGTTCCATGTGCCTTCTCATTTTCTTTCCAGTCTCTATCCTTCTGCAGTTATTTCTCTGAAGAAAAACGTTCTGCAAAGGTGGTTCCATGTACAACCTCAACACTACCCATACAGTCATCTTTTGTTGGAAGAGTTCCTTCTATGATGCTAATAAACATCCATTTTAATATTTACAGTTCTCGGGTGAGTGTGTTAAGCAGGCAGTTCATTGCCTGCTTTGTCTCTACTTTGCTTACAGAAATAGGTCTCAGATCATACTTTATACTAATTCTGCTCTGTAGTACATATAATTTTTTGATTAATTAAATCTAATCTATCACAAAGATGACCACACTTTTTAACTGAAACACTCCTGGGTATATAAGCCAGTATTTTGTACAGTGTTGCAATGTGAAGATTGCAACTGAGAATGTTTTGTTTTCCAATGTTTTTAGGTCTTAATTATTTAATATGATCTCTTCTGTTTGTCCCCTGTGTTTTCACACTTCTTAAAATAGATCACTGTGCTGGTTAAATACGAACATACTAATGTATAACGCTGAAGTTTCAGAAAGGTCTTAATAGCCTTTTTTTCTTTTTCTTTTTTACATAGTTGACAGCAGAGCTGATTGAAGGTGTTTTAATGTGATAAGAAGCCTGTGATACCATTTGATAGTATTTATGTCCTCTCCAGATGACCTGTGTTCAGAAGAATCTCTTCAAATGGCTTGCCAACATTCACAGTCCCTACACTGCAAATTACTATTTATATTAGTTAATGTTAGAGCATGTATCATAAAATAATTAAAATTGAATGTTTTCAAGTATGACTGGTTAATATTACTTGTACTGCTATGGCTGGACGTACTACTTTTGAATGTCAGAAAATATACACTGAATGCCTGTACATGAATAATGGATTGAAGATTCATGGAAGCGGATTTGTTTATTTTTGTATTTCAGGATGCAGAGCAATGTAACAGTCATTAAATATCCCTAGTATATTTCCATTTAAAACAAGAGCCTGAAAGCAATTATTTGGCATAATGCATACTAATAAAGAAATCCAATGTCACAGAAAATAATTATTTGATTGCAAGAATAATTACCTAGCCTACATTTGCAGAAAACAATAGCATTCTCCATCTTTCCCTTACTAGCCCATGGAATTAGAGCTTGTGAGGCTGCTGGGGACAGGGTGCAAGGTTATGGAAACAGGTGGTCTGGCCATTTCTCACCCGTCCTTGCACACCTGCCCTACTGGAGACATAGGCACAAGTACATCATCTGCTGCATTTCCAGACCCTTGTCAAAAAAGTAAACACAGGGGGACTTGTTCTCCTTAATGCAGCTTCCCTTATTGATGGGTCACACTGGAAAAGTAGTTGTCTGAAATCATTGTGGTCCATAAAAGACCCTCTTAGGTATCACTGGCAGTTTGAGCGGTTGCATGCACATGCTTCGTGGTGCTGCACCAGGCCCTGCATGAAACAGACTTTGGCACTTCAATTCAGTGCATGCAGAAGGCAGAACACACAAAGCAACAGGCAAGTCTGCAGATCGCTGCTGATACTGGACTCCCATTCAAGGCCACGCTGTTTTTTTAGTACTGTCATCTGATAAATAGACTGAGTTTAAATTACAAATGCTTCCAAATGCTTGTTTACAAACACACTTACGAAGTCCAACTGAAAAATGTGTATTGGGCTAACATATAACTAATAAATTACTGTGATTATATATTTTATAATATAAAAATGAATGTTTATTAATTTATCTGCACAGGAACAGTCCCTGAATCTAATCATACATGGTCTTTGCTATTCTTAGACTGTATGCCTAGGGCAGATTCTCAACAGGATATAAAATTTTGGCTTAGCAATGGAATCTGTAATCTGTGCTTGAACATTGCTGCACTGTTATACTTGCTCTGCTTTAGGCAGTCTTTCAAGTGTTTTAAGAATTAATCTCAGGGTAGTATACAAGTACAGAAATGAGGTTTATAAGTGACTAAATAATTAGTGAAAACAAATCAATGAAAATATCAAATACTGGTAGCAGCACTTAAATTACAAATGCTGATAGTAGCTCTCAGCATTGAGGAAATGAAGAATAAGGAGCAGGAAGACAACCACTGACTACATTAAACCCGAATGTAAAAGGCAGTATTCTAACCAGAGAGCTAGTCCCACATCCTACCTGATCTGTGCAAATGAAAAGTGTTCTGTTAAAAGGACATTAATCACAGTAACAGTTGCCAAATATATACGTACGCATATTCGTGTATGTCTGTATGTATATATGCAGGTATCTGAAACAGTAGTAAGGACCTTGTTCTAATTGTTCTAATATGTGCACTTGCATAGTGTTTGGGGCTTTGTCTAGAGCTATCTGTTGAGATGTACTGGGGCTCTTGTCTCACCATACACACAGGTTTCTTTACAGGTGCCCTCCAGGTGCAACTACATAGGCATAGCCACTGTGGTTCTGTCTAACCTGGCCTTTTGTCCCAACAAGTGCCCTGATAGATCATTTTATCAGTACAAATCCATGATGTAATCATGAAATCTTTTTAATAAAATTAACTTTGCTCTAGTGTAGTTAATCCTGCCTTTTTGAATGTTTATATGAAGTAAAAAAGGGCTTTTCAACATAAATAAGCAGATGAAAAATAAGTTAACATGTTGGATGAAAGAAAACACTGTAAGGAAAGCTGAATTTTTGTTTTATCTTGTATTTACTAAAAGTACTTGATATTCATAGTGTCAGCTAGCAGATCACTACAATTTTTGCAAAAGTAAAATATATGTACATATTTTCACCACGCACCAGATCCTGTACTTCGGTCATGGCAACCCCATGCAGCGCTACAGGCTTGGGGAAGAGTGGCTGGAAAGCTGCCCGGCACAGAAAGACTTGGGGGTGCTGGTTGACAGGCGGCTGAATATGAGCCAGCAGTGTGCCCAGGTGGCCAAGAAGGCCAACGGCATCCTGGCCTGTATCAGAAATCGTGTGGCCAGCAGGAGCAGGGCAGTGATCGTCCCCCTGTACTGGGCACTGGTGAGGCCGCACCTCGAGTCCTGTGTTCAGTTTCGGGCTCCTCACTACAGGAAAGACATTGAGGTGCTGGAGCACGTCCAGAGAAGGGCAACGAAGCTGGTGAGGGGTCTGGAGAATGAGTCTTATGAGGAGCAGCTGAGGGAGCTGGGGCTGTTTAGTCTGGAGAAAAGGAGGCAGAGGGGAGACCTTATCGCTCTCTACAACTACCTGAAGGGGGGTTGTAGTGAGGTGGGTGTTGGTCTCTTCTGTCAGGTGGCTGGAGATAGGATGAGAGGAAATAGCCTCAAGTTGAGGCAAGGGAGTTTTAGGTTAGATATTAGGAAAAATTTTTTTACTGAGAGGGTTGTCAAACATTGGGATGGGCTGCCCAGGGAAGTGGTTGAGTCACCATCCCTGGAGGTATTCAAAAAGCGAGTGGACGGGGTACTTCAGGACATGGTTTAGTGGGCATGGTTAACGGTTGGACTGAATGATCCTGAAGGTCTTTTCCAACCTAAATGATTCTATGATTCTATGATAATTTAATAAGACTCCATCACTGAGAGCCAGGATAGACGAGAGGGTGGTGAGCACAGGGGAGAGCCTCCTCAGAGGAAAGGATATGGTTAAGAGATGTTGGAACATCAGCTGATGCTTTGCGAATCTGAAATGCCGAGTACTCACTGATATAAAATACTTCCTTCTTAGCTGTTATTTGAAAAAAATGTGAATTTATTTTACAGTGAAAAAGATACATTTGCATTCCTCGTCGCAAGACCTGAACCCCGGTCAACAAAACTGGGTAGAAACGAGGTAAACGGAGGACCAAAAAAACCTCACCGGTTTCTGCAATTTCCCCCCGTTTATTCCAGATACTTCCTTCCAAACGAATTTGTTTTTTCACGCTGATGTATGTCACAAAAGGTTAAAACTCACTGGTACAGGTCTCGTGGTTTGCTTCCGTTACTCGACGCAAACCTTGTACGTCTGAGAGGACAGGAATCCAACATCTGCAGGAGGGACAGTCCGCAAAACGTCTCCTTCCAGAGCAGGCAGTCGTGATACCTGGCAGCGGAGTAAGGCGTGCGGCGACCCGCTCGTTCTGGACGAGCAGCCATCACAAGGGAAGCCAAGAACCGCCAACGCCCGCCGCGCGCCCCCGCTCAGCCAGCGCGCTCCCGCCCCCCGCGCAGCCGGGCGTCGCCGGCGCATGCGCGGGGCGGGTCTCCTTGCTGCTGCGCGGAGGGCGAGCGTAGGCCTCAAGGAGAAGGCAGGGAGGGCGGGCGGAGGGTCGCCGCTTGTTGCCGTCGCCGCCATGTTCCTGTGTGCTCCCCTGCGGGCCGCGGCCGCGCGATCGGTAAGGGGGAGGGTGCTGCGGCGACGCGTCTGTCCTCGCCGGTCGGGGCAGGGCGCCCGCTCGGCTGGAGGAGAGCGCGGGGGAACAGGGGGCCCGCGGCGGGGGGGGGGGGGCGGGGG